CACAATATGCAACAATGAATGAATGTCATGCACCCGAATCAAACAATACCCTTACACATAAGCGAGAATAAGAATGTACTCTAAATCACTAATTGATCTATCGGCTCAGTCCGTGGTGTGATGGCGANGCTCAAGTCTTTCACACAATATGCAACAATGAATGAATGTCATGCACCCGAATCAAACAATACCCTTACCCATAAGCGAGAATAAGAATGTACTCTAAATCACTAATTGATCTATCGGCTCAGTCCGTGGTGTGATGGCGAAGACTCGTCCCTGGGTCCCTGAAGTCCCTACTTGCATGTCCTGTCCTCATCTTTGGATCAAGCCCTGGCCCAGCTGGCATGATTGCGAAGTCCCTGCATGTGAAGTATTAGGGGTCTGTGTAACACCCTGGAACTGAAACTGATTTTCTTGGCCCATGGTGGGATAAGGAGGAATGAAAAATATTTGTGGGTATCCCACGATGATTGGGACAGAGATGTCCCATAGCTTTGGGATCCTTGCCTCTGAGTAAAATCTCGCTTCAAGTGGCCCTGCTGGTGACATATGTAGCATGTCTTCTAGCCAGCCTGATAGGAGGCCCTAAAATTTCTCTCATCTTGGGAGGGTTGACCTTGGCCTTGGCCTTGACCTTGATAGCCTCGGCCATGCTCTTGTGATCCTTGAGGGGTAGATGTCCTTTGTTTCTTCCCTGAGTTGGTGGAAGAAGATTAACCTTCGTTCTTTTTGTCCTTAGCACCTGTCTCCCTGGATGCTCTTAGCGTCTTCCACCTCCCTGTCAATTGCAATGGTTGTCTCGACCATTGAGTCCAAGTCTTGTAGGTTGTGACCCACAATATTTAATAGCTATAATTACTAACTGTACTTGTGTGTAAATGGCTAGATTGTGACATGTGGTTGTGTTTGGTGGATTGTTGTAAGGGTTACAGTTTCAAGTACTTAAAATGTTTTGTGTTGTGTTGTCAAATGTGAATGTGGTATTTGAGACTCCCGGGCGTAAACGGGTAATGATGTGATTATCGAGTGGGAAACAGGTAGTTGTTAATACTCGTTGAGACTTCCCAACGTTAATGGATAGTTGTATATTGGATGTTGGGTATTGGATGTTGATGATTAGATATTGGATATTTGATGTTGTATTTCACTTTTAATTTGCATATGAGATATGATTATAAATATATTGTGCTTATGTGTTTTCTTTCTATGACTCATTGAATATGTGGTTAGAACACCCCTGAATAGTTTTTAGTTTTCAGCTGCCTNATTGTGCTTATGTGTTTTCTTTCTATGACTCATTGAATATGTGGTTAGAACACCCCCCAATAGTTTTTAGTTTTCAGCTGCATGGATTCCTGGATTTTAGGAGTTGGTCCACTAAGTATTCTAGCTTGGCATAGAGGTGATAATGTCAGTTTGTACACTGTGTCATGTGTCAAATTGTATGTGGTTTGTTAAGCCATTTTAAGGGTATGATCCCTAATTATAATGTAACATTGTGCTAAGTAATTGTCAGGTTTGTTATTGTGGTAAACAAATTTTATTATTATTGGACAAGATAATTATTTTGAATTAAATTATGTTTAGTGACTTAACAGAATAGGATTACTCACATCCTATCTCTTTTTCGGGAAAAGGTGTGACATTTTTGGTATCAGAGCTAGTATTTGATAGGTTCTATAAACTTTTCAAATCTAATTGTTGCAATGGATCGTTAGGGGTGTGTTTGTCAAGTTGGGTAGGATGTTTTATGTGTATTGAGTAATGTGGGGGTACGTTTATGTTCATCTATATTGATTTGTAGTTTTATAGCATAGTGAATCTTAGATCTTTCAAAAATGATTAAGATTTGGGTGAAGAGGAATGATTCGATCCCAATATGGGGTACGTGTATGTTTTTCTAATTTTTTTGTTGATCCTAATGGCAAAATTGATCATTTGATAGGTGATGGGAATGCCCACATCAATTAGTATTATTTTCTTTGTCGTGTTATTTTTTGTAGGTTATTAAGCATATATTTTCCATTTATGTCTTAAGTTTTATTTCAATTTAAACTTATTATGTATTTTTCACCCATGAAAGGAATGAACCTTATTTACGATTGTTCAATTCTAAGATGAATGGCGAAGATGCAAGTCTAGTAGATAGTGTACAAGCCACACAATCCTTCAAGACAATTTTTTTTTCTCCAACTTAACATTAGCTGAAGCTAATGTAAATACAATATCGGGTTCTGCAAACCTGATTGAAGGCTCCATAAGAGCTATTATCAAGTTACCAAATGGAACAAAAATCCATATCAACAATGCTTTATATCCAGTCAAATTCAGAAAAAATTTACTAAATTTCAAATATATACATCATAATGGATTTCATATGTAAATTATGAATGATAATAATGGAGAATACCTCTACATTACTTCAATTGTTTCTGCCCTGAAGTTTATATTAGAAAAACTTCCTACTTTTTCCTTTGGGTTGTATTGTACAACCATAGGAACACTTGAATCAAATAATGTGATTAGTCAGAAGCACTCTAATCCAAAGTACTTTTTTTTGTACTTTGGCATGACTAACTTGGTCACCCTAGGTTAATAATGATATGTTAGATCATCAATAACTCACATGGACATCTTCTAAAGAATCATAAGATTTTTTTGTCGAGTGATTACCCATGTACTGATTGTTCACAAAGAAATTGGTTGTCAATCTATCTCCCACAAAAGTCAATGTTAAAATCCCCAACCTATTTACAAAGAATTTAAGGGGATATTTGTGGACCTATTCACCCATCATGTGAACCATTTCAATGTTTTGTGGTCTTAATTAATGCCTCATGGCGATGGTTACATGTTTCTTTATTATCCACTTGAAATGTTATTTTTTCTTATTTTCTTGCCTAAGTAATCCGGTTAAGACCCAATCAAGACAATTTGTCTTGATAATATTGGTGAATTTACATCTCAAACATTTGGTGATTTTTACATGTCTGGTTGGGATAGATGTGGAGCACCCAGTTGTTCACATGTATACCAAAAATGGTTTAGTTGAGCCTTTACCAAACGACTTCAATTGATTGCTTAAACCTTTACTTATGAGAATAAGTAACCCATTTCTACTTGGGGACATACAATATTACATGCAACAATCTTAGTTCTTATTCTACCAATTACTTATTATCAATATTCTCTAATACAACTTGTAGTTTGTTAACCCCCAAATATTTCTCGCTTCCGAACATTTGGTTGTGTTGTATATGTCTCAATTGCATCTCCATAATGCAATAAGATCGCTCCATAACGTTGACTAGGAATTTATGTTGGTTGGTATTCTTTTTCAATCATTAGATATCTTGAGCCTTTGACGAGAGATGTTTTTATTGCAAGATTTGTAGATTGTCATTTTGATGAGATAGTCTTCTCACTGTTAGGGAGAGGAAATTCGTTGCTTAATAAAGAGCGACATGAACTTNTTGGTATTCTTTTTCAATCATTAGATATCTTGAGCCTTTGACGAGAGATGTTTTTACTGCAAGATTTGTAGATTGTCATTTTGATGAGATAGTCTTCTCACTGTTAGGGAGAGGAAATTCGTTGCTTAATAAAGAGCGACATGAACTTTATCTCATCTTGATCTACGCACTCTCCAATGTGAAATTGAAGTGCAAAGAATTATTCAGCTCCCAAAAAATTGGTAATTAGTTGTCTAATGCATGTATTGATGCAACAAGAGAAATTAATGGGTATTAGTTCATTGGTCTATAGCCCTTACTACCAAATTTAATATAGTATGTGATAGCCATTATGTTTGAGGGCCTATAAAAGGAGGCATTGACTACATTGAGAAATATACAAGTTGAGAAACTCTTCCTTTAACTTTTCTATATTCATCTGTATTTTTACAATTCTATGTTTTATATTCTTATAGTTTTATAACAATTTAATTTTTTTTAATTTGATTTATAATGTTAAACTTCCTTTGCACCTTGGTTTTCAAAATTGGTTTAAATCAAGTTTGAATATTGAATAGGCTCTCTATTTTCACTCAATTCTTTATTTTAGAGAATCAGTCATTGACAATTCATTTATAATAGACTATCTATTTGGACTAACTAAAATAGATGGTTCTATTTGAGTCTCAACATTTGGAGAATCAACGTCACTCTCTATTTTAAAATTAATGAATAAAAAAATGACACATGTGCATTTTTGTATTAAATATTAGGGTTATTCGCACCGGTGGTCCCCAAACTATTCACGTTGTCTCATTTTGGTCCCCAACATTTCAATTGCATCAAATTGGTCCCCAAAGTATTCACGCTGATTTATTTTGGTCCCAACCATAGACGTCATTTGCTTTTTGCCGACTTCGTCTCCATGTGCCATTCACGTGAGAGGCAAAGTGGACATTGCACCCTACGTCTCCTGCTTAGCCAGTCAAAGGCTGTGATGAATTGCCTCTTCACTTCCATTTCAACGACAACAATGGTGAGAACTCCAACTTAGGGCAAAATATCCAATGTTCATCAGGGCAAAATACAAGAGTGATTAGCTTTATCCTCATCTTCTTTGAGTGGGAATCATAGTGTAAAGATGGTCTGTTGCATTAGGTAGGAGAAAGGGAATCAGGCAGGATCATACGATGTTTCACATTACGGTATGTGGTGGCTTTTTATAGTTTTGGGTTTCAGTTTCATGGGTGCAACTGAATATAAAATGGTCTTGATGCTGTCAAACAGATTTTTTTATGCAAAATAATTTTTTTTTTTGGCAATATTTTATGGTTTATGTGGTTGCTGGAAACCACTTGTTTATGTAATATGAATTTTATATTTACTTTTTTTTGGAAACCATTAGGCCATGATTCTTCACTTTTCTCAATGGAAGTTCACCACAATNGGTTTATGTGGTTGCTGGAAACCACTTGTTTATGTAATATGAATTTTATATTTACTTGTTTTTGGAAACCATTAGGCCATGATTCTTCACTTTTCTCAATGGAAGTTCACCACAGTGGTCAATTTACAGAGAGTCCAAACAAAGCTTATGTTGGGGGGAAAATAAATTACATAGATGACTGTGATTGTGAACTGATGTCGCTCATTGAAATGTATGATATGGCTAATACTCTTGGTTATGCTCCATATGTTGGATTTTACTACAAACTTCCTGGGTTGGATTTGGACAAAGGGCTAGTACATATGAGTAGTGATGAACATGTATTGGATATGTCACACCATTTGCATAAAAACAGGGTAGCTCAAGTATATTTTAAACATATAGGAGGTATTAAATTACTAGAGAGTCAGACTGGATCATTTAGAGGCAAAAACAATCATTCTGTTGATGATGATCACCCAATTGATGACAATGGCATAGGGGATGGGGTAGCATCAGAATCTGAATTCAGTGAATATGAAGATTTGGTTGATAGTGATTATGAAAGTGAGTATGATGACATGTTGTATGAGAATTGTGTTGATCATGAAGGTGAATGGACTGGTTTGAAAAGTAACAGCCAAAAAACAACAGTAACAGACATAAGGCATGACTTAGACCTAAGTGACTCAGATGGTGATTCTGAGGACATTGTAAGCTGTTGTAGTTCATCTGATGGAGAGACTGATGCAAGAAAAAAACCAAAATTTGAAGTGTTTAGGGAAAACAAAGATAATGAAAACCCAGAATTTAAGCTAGGTATGTTATTTGGTACATCTGAGGAGCTCAAGGCTGTTATTAGACACCATGCAATTAAAAATCAGAGAAATGTNTTTAAGCTAGGTATGTTATTTGGTACATCTGAGGAGCTCAAGGCTGCTATTAGACACCATGCAATNGAATTTAAGCTAGGTATGTTATTTGGTACATCTGAGGAGCTCAAGGCTGTTATTAGACACCATGCAATTAAAAATCAGAGAAATGTTAAGTCGGTCAAAAATGATAAAAGGAGGGTAAGGGCACAATGTCAAGAGGGTTGTAGTTGGCTTGTTTATGCTTCTAGAGTGCATGGTGAGAAAACATATCAAATAAAGACATACATTAGCAAGCACACATGTGGGAAAACTTACACTAATAGAAATGTGAACTCAAAGATGATTGCATTGAAGTATCTGGAGGAGCTGAGAATCAACCCCTATTGGCCTATAAAAGCTTTTAAAAAGAGGGTTAGACAAGATTTACATGTTGATGTAACAAGGAATCAATTATACAGCGCAAAGAAAAGGGCAATGCTATTGATACATGGGGATGACATTGAACAGTATGGTAGATTATGAGATTATTCTAAGGAAATAAGAAGGGCTAATCCTGGTTCGACAGTTGTTTTGGATGCTCATGCAGATGAGGAACACAGTTAAACCTAGATTTCAGAGTTATATATTTGTCTTGCAGCATGTAAGAGAGGATTTTTGGAAGGGTGCAGGAAAGTAGTTAGACTAGATGGTTGCCACTTGAAAGGAGCCTACAGTGGACAGTTATTGACAGNAAAAAGAGGGTTAGGCAAGATTTACATGTTGATGTAACAAGGAATCAATTATACAGCGCAAAGAAAAGGGCAATGCTATTGATACATGGGGATGACATTGAACAGTATGGTAGATTATGAGATTATTCTAAGGAAATAAGAAGGGCTAATCCTGGTTCGACAGTTGTTTTGGATGCTCATGCAGATGAGGAACACAGGTAAACCTAGATTTTAAAAGTTATATATTTGTCTTGCAGCATGTAAGAGAGGATTTTTGGAAGGGTGCAGGAAAGTAGTTAGACTAGATGGTTGCCACTTGAAAGGAGCCTACAGTGGACAGTTATTGACAGCAGTTGGTATTGATGCCAATGATTCTATGTTTCCTATTGCATACTGTGCTGTTGAGATTGAGATGATGGAATCATGGGCATGGTTCTTAGCAATACTATCCACTGACTTGGGCATCAATTACCAGAACCAAAACCAGTGGACCTTTATCACTGACAAGCAGAAGGTACAGATTTTTTTATGAACTGATTTTTTTACGTACTGATTTTTTTCCTCTTATTTAATAGGGTTTGCTTCCAACACTGAGTGAAAGCCTACCTAGATCAGAACATAGGCATTGTGCTAGGCATCTACTAAACAATTTCATGAGACAGTTTAAGGGTTTGTGTATTAGGAAGAAATTCTAGAAATGTGCTAGGGCAACACACATTCCAGAATTTGACTTTGGGATGCAACTAGTTAAAGAAGAGGATGAAAAGGCTTTTGAGTGGTTGGCCAATGAACCACCAAGGTACTGGAGTAGGTCACATTTTAGAGTAGAACCAAAGTGTGACATTTTGTTAAACAATCTATGTGAGACCTTTAATGGGGCAATTGTGGAAGCAAGGGATAAGCCCATCTTGGAAATGCTAGAATGGATTAGATGCTACTTAATCCAAAGAATGGTAAGGAGTAGGGAATAGGCTCGGAGTTATAGTGGAAATATATGCCCTAAAATTTAGAAGAGGTTGGAGAAATGGAAAGGTGACAGGTTTGGTTGTATTGCTGATTGGCATGGTGAGTTAAAATTTGAGGTGAGGGGTATGAATGGAGATCAATATTATGTTGATTTGAAGGAGAAGACATGCTCATGCAGGAAATGGAACTTGACAGGAATCTCATGCCCACATGACATTGCTTCTATTCAGAATAGGGGTCAACTGCCAGAAGATTATGTTACTAGACACTACAAGAAAGGGCCATTTATACAGGCATGTGAACGACTTATCAACCCAATTAATGGACATAAGATGTGGAAAAGTGGACTTACCTCAGTATTGCCTCATTTGAATANTTCAGAATAGGGGTCAACTGCCAGAAGATTATGTTACTAGACACTACAAGAAAGGGGCATTTATGCAGGCGTGTGAACTAATTATCAACCCAATTAATGGACATAAGATGTGGAAAAGTGGACTTACCTCAGTATTGCCTCATTTGAACAGAAGACAACCTGGTAGGCCAAAAAAACTACGGAGGAAGGAACCAGATGAGGTAAATAATAAACATCAGCCACATAAGTTGAGGAAAACTAGGCTAGTATCACTTAAGTGTAGGAGATGTGGTAAGAATGGGCATAACAGGAGGACATGCACTACTGCATTGACAGAAGGAGAAGGACTACAAGCTGAAGGAAGCCAATCTGGAGAAAGTCAAATAGTTGCAGGGAGCCAATCAGTAGCAGCAAGCCAAGTAGTACCAGTAGGGAGCCAATCAGTAGCAACAATCGAAGCAGTGCCAGGAGGGAGCCAAGTAGTAGCAGCAAGCCAATCACTTGTANGACTACAAGCTGAAGGAAGCCAATCTGGAGAAAGTCAAATAGTTGCAGGGAGCCAATCAGTAGCAGCAAGCCAAGTAGTACCAGCAGGGAGCCAATCAGTAGCAACAATCGAAGCAGTGCCAGGAGGGAGCCAAGTAGTAGCAGCAGCAAGCCAATCACTTGCAGGAAGGTCTTGCTTTGAATAACTTCAAGCTTCAACCACTAGAGCAACTTCAAATACTGGAAATGCAACTAAAACCTTCTTTATTCATAATCGAAGGGAAAAACTGCCATTTAGGAAGAGTAAATCAAAAAGCAGCCATGTTGTATAATGTGCAACTTTTATTTTTTGGTACAATGGATATGTGTAACTCTCTTTTTGGGTTTGTAATGAGAGTTAACAGCCATGTTGATATGATGTGCAACTTTATTTTTTGGTACAATGGATATGTGTAACTCTCTTTTTGGGTTTGTAATGAGAGTTAACAACCATGTTGATATGATGTGCAACTTTGTTTTTTGGTACAATGGATATGTGTAACTCTTTTTTTGGGTTTATAATGATTAGAGGTGTCTTCCTGTGTTGAGAGCAAAAAATGTGCTGGTATATGATACAATCATTGGNTTTTTGGTACAATGGATATGTGTAACTCTCTTTTTGGGTTTGTAATGAGAGTTAACAACCATGTTGATATTATGTGCAACTTTGTTTTTTGGTACAATGGATATGTGTAACTCTCTTTTTGGGTTTATAATGATTAGAGGTGTCTTCCTGTGTTGAGAGCAAAAAATGTGTTGGTATATGATACAGTCATTTGCTTGTTTTGCAGTCATTAGCCTGTGATCTTATGACTGAATTTCTGCTAAGTAACAGATTTTCTGTGATCTGAGGGCCTGAAGTTGCTAAGTAGCAGCTGGAAAGGCACATGAACAGTCACGTGAATAGTGACGTGAACAGTGCCCTTCAAATCAAAACTTCCTACAGACCCACAACTTGGAAAATACTTTTGTTTATAATTTTTGAGATTCTTATAAAATACTTTTTGAGACGTCACATGTTTTCACATTCCAACAATTAAACATTCCACAAAAGAAAAGTCATATTTATACATAATTAAGAGGGGTGGTATTGAGGAATCATGAAATAAAATACACTGTAGGGGACAGAGATGTGGATGGAGATTCTATGGATTTTGTTTGTGCCGGATGTTCTCTGGTTTCAGTGGCCATTTAAGCTAGAGCTGCTGTATCAAACGTATCAAATGCATGGGGAGACTTGGGGTTATCTTCCCTGGGCTATCCTCTGCACTTTTCTTGATGGCCTTTGGACTTCGCTGGTCGCTTTTCCTAATTTCTTCTTCATCTCTCTTGCGTTTCATAGTGGGTTCTTGTTGGTTTCTGCCCTGTGTAGGAGATGCTTTTATGGAGGGTTGCTGACGGTTTTCATGCATGATATTCTCTGTATCATGCTTTTGGCTTGGGGAGATGTTTCTAGCTTATGTTTTCATTAGACCTGATGCTTTGGTTCCCGAAACAAAATTTTTGGTTTATTTTGTACAATTACTGTTTTGGCTATTAAACAGTTACAGTTTTTGATTCTTGTCATTTTTGAATGTCATGCAATAAAATTTTCTCTTAAAAAAAAAGAGGGGATTACATAGAGAACATCAACCCAGTTACATAGAGAACATCAGCCTAGTTACACAATTATATACAACTTCACAAAGTCTAGTTACATGAAATACAACACCCAAGTGAGAATGAAAATTGTCCATGAATAAAACAAAGCAACCTATAAGATTTTCTCCCTCTTTTTTGATAGTCATTGTTGCTCATCATGCCTTCAGAAAGATCACAAAAGTCCAGGTATCACATGCTTCGATCTATTGCACATTGGAGGATCATACCAAACAAAAAATCCACGGCCTCCAACTTCCTAACAATGTAATACTTTGTTAAAAAAAATTCAAATGTTTATACCAAACTAACAAATGAAATAAAAATAGGAATTACCCCATATCTCTCACACCCAATAAACCTTCTTCCTGGGTTTGTAGCAGTCCAAGAAGTCCGCATTTTCCCCATTCTCCTACAATAGCATGGTGTTGCCTCCCTTTTGGCCAACTCCTCCATTACATGAATTTCATCCCTCACGTTTTCCTTTTTCTTCCCTCCACTTCTTCTTTCTGGTTTCACAGGCTATAAAGTCTGCAACATGGAGGCATTGGAGGAGTTAGGGGGAATGTCCTGTAGCAGTCCAAGAAGTCCGCATTTTCCCCATTCTCCTACAATAGCATGGTGTTGCCTCCATTTTGGCCAACTCCTCCATTACATGAATTTCATCCCTCACGTTTTCCTTTTTCTTCCCTCCACTTCTTCTTTCTGGTTTCACAGGCTATAAAGTCTGCAACATGGAGGCATTGGAGGAGTTAGGGGGAATGTCCTGTAGCAGTCCAAGAAGTCCGCATTTTCCCCATTCTCCTACAATAGCATGGTGTTGCCTCCATTTTGGCCAACTCCTCCATTACATGAATTTCATCCCTCACGTTTTCCTTTTTCTTCCCTCCACTTCTTCTTTCTGGTTTCACAGGCTATAAAGTCTGCAACATGGAGGCATTGGAGGAGTTAGGGGGAATGTCCTGTAGCAGTCCAAGAAGTCCGCATTTTCCCCATTCTCCTACAATAGCATGGTGTTGCCTCCATTTTGGCCAACTCCTCCATTACATGAATTTCATCCCTCACGTTTTCCTTTTTCTTCCCTCCACTTCTTCTTTCTGGTTTCACAGGCTATAAAGTCTGCAACATGGAGGCATTGGAGGAGTTAGGGGGAATGTCCTNCCCCCCCCCCCCCCCCAAAAGACGTAGGATGCAATGTCCACTTTGCCCCCTCACGTGAATGACACATGGAGACAGAGACGGAGCCGGCAAAAAGCAAACGACGTCTGTGGTTGGGACCAAAATAAATCAACGTGAATACTTTGAGGATCAATTTGATGCAATTGAAATGTTGGGGACCAAAATGAGACAACGTAAATAGTTTGGGGACCACCGGTGCAAATAATCCTAAATATTATTCACCGTAAAGACTATTTCTAATAAAGTATAGAGTTCTATTGAAGTTGTTAAAGAAAATTTACTCTATTTTAAATTTTCATCAAAGATGCTCTTTAAAATAGATAACACTATTCAAGATTCTCTAATTATTAGAATTAGTAAATTTTTTTATTTTTAGAATGAACAATGCTATTGGAACATAATTTGATGATATAATTTAAAAATTTAATGATTGTGACTATTGGATTATCAGCGAATTCCAACATTGAATACATTCTATTTTCAGTTATAATATATTAAACCTTCAAATTATGTCTGAAGTATTTTAAAATTTCAAAGAATTACCTCTGGGGTTTTAATATTTTGACTTTTGAGGCCTTACCGGGTGTTTAAAACCCTCCACAAAATGTCCGTTTTCTTCGCCGTGTATTAAAAAAACAAAAAACAAAATTGTATTTTGGCCCATTTAAAATTGGGAGGATCGAATACGAAACATATCAAAACCCTATGCGACAACGGACAGNAAAAAACAAAATTGTATTTTGGCCCATTTAAAATTGGGAGGATCGAATACGAAACATAATCAAAACCCTATGCGACAACGGACCGNAACATTGAATACATTCTATTTTCAGTTATAATATATTAAACCTTCAAATTATGTCTCAAGTATTTTAAAATTTCAAAGAATTACCTCTGGGGTTTTAATATTTTGACTTTTGAGGCCTTACCGGGTGTTTAAAACCCTCCACAAAATGTCCGTTTTCTTCGCCGTGTATTAAAAAAACAAAAAACAAAATTGTATTTTGGCCCATTTAAAATTGGGAGGATCGAATACGAAACATATCAAAACCCTATGCGACAACGGACAGCAGAGAATTTTGAAATGGAGGAAGACACATTACTCTACCTGCAACTGCACAAGCTATCTGCCATGAAGTCCGAGGAAGACCTCACACATATACTCACAACCTTATGGAGAACTCGCAAAACAGGTTTCACAGCTCCCAACAAGTCTCACGTTCAGTCCCTTCTCAATCTTCCAACCGCCGGTGAACTCGAACCCGTAAGACCATCTATCGCTCTTCGTGTTTCATATGCTAATTACAGAAATTGCCGTGAAAAATGTAATTGTTTTCACTCGAAGCAAGACATAGTTTTACAGTACGAACCAAATAACGCCCAAATGATTGTATAGTTGTAAATAATTGATTCACGTGTTGGTTTGCCAAGTTACATGTGAAGATCGTTAATGTATTCCTTCATGTTATTGTCGATAATAAACAATAACTATGATTTGCAATATTTGTTATTCAATTTTATCTTGCTTCATATGTGTATATCAGTATGTGTGCGTGTATCCGTGTTTGTATACGTTTGCATATAAATCTATCGAATATTAGAGCTAGGAAGTTGAATCCTCAACTTATAAAAGCACAATAATGGTTAAAATTAATCCAATTTTTATCTACTTTGATCTAGTGGTATAAAAATTCATCCCAAAATTGCATACTTAAAGAAAAAAAAGTAAAAAATAAATTACTATTTAAAATATAAATATTGCACAATTAGTTTGATTTTTAGTATTGTAGACATGGAGATATTGCTAGTTCATCAATAGTGATTGAAGAAGAAGGTCAATTGCGCAATAGGTATTGGCCCCAGGACAATTTCAAAATTATGTGCATCTAGTACATAGATGTGCATTGATTTGTGTATACATGTACACACTACATTTTATAGAGAGGCTTGTTTCAGTGTTGATACATGAAAATCTAAGTTTGAAATCTCATAGGTATCCCCATTTTTAGTAAATTTTCAATTTATTAACTCTGTTAAATAACGTTAAAAATGGTCATTTGCTTAATAACTTCTGCTTAAAGACCACAACTAGGAGTCTTCTAAGGTGGTGTTTGATAAATTGAAAATGCAGTATTGAATTTTAGCCTTTAGTTATAGAATGCTGAAAATTTTAATTTGAAAACTGTTAGGTATGTACAAAAATTTAAGTACTAAATTGGATCGCTATGTTTCATTGAAATGAATTGAATTCTATAAATTTTTATTTTTCTAATTTCGCTCTTCCCCCCTACCACCTATCACTATCATTACCTTATCCCAAAAACCACCACCAAAACTACTACTTCGCAAT